AGGACTGGGCAGTGCGAGGGCGGCCCCTGCTCCTTCCCAGGCCCCCAAGGGGTGCCCTGCCCACAGGGCATCATGGGGGCCAGCTCTTCTCAAAGTAACACCCAGGAGCCCCTGGATGCCAGGGTACATGCCGGACCCTGTCCGATGACACCTACTGTGGGAACCTCAACGATGCTGCCCTGGGCCAGCACTCTGCAGCTCTTCACCTCCCAGTGGCTCTGCAGGGGGCCGAGTCACCATAGGTCACCCTCAGTGGTGCACACACTCTCACAGGTGTGCCTAGCCATCACAGCACATACCGGGTGATGTCCCCACCACAGCCCTCAGAGACCCCACCTGGACTCAGCCACTTGGCGTAGAAGTCTCAGTGACAGCCTTGGGGCTGGGGACGGTGGCGGCCTGGAGGCATCTTCAGGGCTGTGTGAGGGTGTGACCATGGGTACTGGGGGTCAGAATGATGCCACCAAGACACAAAGTGCTGGGCTCCACACAGCAAACCAAGTTTGTCCTCTGGAAGAAACTGAAATAAGACGCAGGCTTTGTCTGTGGCACAGGACCCTACGCCAGCCGGGCTGGGCCCTTCTCAGCATGGTCTCCCCTCCACCAGAACACAGGCCACAGCCATGCCAGTTACCCCACGAGGCCTCCAGCCCCTACCCTCTGGTCCAGGAGGCTGGCCCTGGCTGGCTATCCACAGCCCCAAGACCCCTGGGGCCCAGGCAGGAAGGGACAGTTCACCAGCTCCTCCCAGCCTGCCTAGGATCCTCACGACGGGACACCCAGGGGTGCCACAGTCCTTCAGAGCCACAAAGCACTTCCCTCCTGACTGCAAAACCTCTGCCAGCCTGGTGGCCCTTCTCCAGCCAGCCTGCCTCTCACACCCTCCAGCTGGCATGAGACTCAGGGCCACATGCTCTGCCAACCCTGAATGCCCCCTCCTGATACTGCCTGGTCTTCCTCCTCCCCACCCCACTCCTCCCAGGCCCCTGCAGTGGCTGCAGTCCAGGACCTGTGTCCACTGCCCCCCCCCCGAGTGGGCACAGTCTCCTCCTTGCCTGGGGACCCCACTGAGTCAGCCTGGTTTCATACTGTGCTGTGACCCAGGCCAGTGGGTCATGAGATGCGGCATCTGAGGATCTTGGAGACCTGGGGCCACCTGCTTGCATGCCTGGCCTGTGTGGGCTCAGACACCTGACAACCCCAGCCTGTGTCTGGGGAAACGGTGATGTACAGGTGGACACCGTGACACCAGGCCTTTCCCAAGGCAGGGAAGGGCAGGCAGCACTCCACAAGACAGTCTGTGCGCCTCTGCTGCCCAGGCTGCCTGAGACACTGTGCCACAGGACCTTCCCAGCAGTGGGTCTAGGCAGGGGAGCTGACTGTCTGCAGGTGGGGCTGAATGAGTGTCAGCTTGGCAGGCAGCTGTGCTGCTGTCCCTAAAAGCACGCTGAGAAGGACACATAGCCCACAGCTGAGGCCATGAGGTCCTGGCCCCTTGCAGTCACCATCATTCACCATGATGATCCCCGTGGGTGAATGGAGTAGCCCTGTCCTGTGGGTGACTCTGACGGGCTGATGGGTGCCCTCTGCTGGTCACAAGAGCTCAGAGCCTCACCATTCCTCAATTCTGTCCTCCCAGATGCTGTGGTAAAGGTCAAGGGGCGCACAGCGTCTCTGGTGCCAGATCCAGGGAGGCGCCAGGCTGGGTCTGAAGGTCGCCGGGTCACCAGGTGGGCTTGGCCAGAGTGGCCTAGCATCTCCCCCTGGGACCACAACTGCCCTGGGTCCCAGATAACAAGGCCCATTTGGACCCTTCTCAATGGCTCTAGGACTGTCCACACCCAAGTCTGCTTTTTGAGCCCCAGAAGCTGACCACCTGCCATGCCAGCAGCTCAGGAGGTCCCCTGTGAAGGTCAGGAGAGTCCGTCCGCACGTGGGGCCCAGACAATACTGAGAGGCAGCCCCAAAACAGGCACTCAAGACAGCAAAGGTAGCAGATGTCCAGCTCTGAGCTGCTCTCCACTGCCATGATGGATCGACCAGGTCAGCCCTGTGAGATCACTGCACTGAGCCACCTGCCAAGTCCACCATGGCCAGGAGTCCCAGCGGAGGCACTGGTGACGCCAGTCCTTGAGGCTACATGGCAGAGGGTCAGCAGCTGCAGGCACCAGGCTCTGGGCAGGGAGTCTCGAGCCCGTGTCTGTTGCTGGTTGGACAAGAGGAGCATGGCAGGTCCAGTAAGCCCAGAGGGCATGTGGCCCCATGGTGACTGATGAGCCCGCTGTGTGGAAGCCATGGGCCAGACAGAGCAAAGCTGGATGATGGGGCCCAGGGCCCAGCCAGGAGTGAACAGCTGCCAGTGACCTGGGTGGACACACGGAGGCTCTGAGCTTATCCTAGCCACAGCCCACAGCCCCCCGTCCAAGCTTGGCCTGGCACCCCTGCTCCTGCACTCCAGTCCCCGCCAGCAAAACAGCTGTCATGGCAGCTTTGGGCAGCCTGGCTCGGTTACAGCTTATGTACAGCCCCCCAGGCAGTTGGCTCGCGGGGGCACTGACTTTATAAATAAAATATATCATTGTAATTACGGCTCCCGTAGAGAGCCCAGGACATTTACGGCCTCTTGGAGGTCATGAATAATTTAGGGCAAGGGAAACGGGGCCCAGAGGCTCCCATTATCTCGGCTGCTGGCAGTGACAGGGCTGATGTCCCAGACTCCAACCTAGGGGACCAGCAGCCTCCGTGATGCCCTCATTCCCCCAGGGAGCCACAGCATGGGGTGAAGTGTGTCCCAGGGCTGCACCCCAGGCAAGGACCCCCTAGGCCTCTGCACACACCAGGCCTTGTGTCCCCACACCCACCAGGCCCAGGTGGGCAAAGCTGCTGAGGCCTCCAGGAGCTGCAGGCCTGGGAGTGGCTGGTGCCGGATGTACTCACCCTAGAACCACAGGGAAGAGGCCAGGCTCACTCTGGGGCACTGGTGGAGACAGGAACAGAACTGGAGCAAACCTTAATGGCATCAGCATGCCAGGCACAGGGAGCTGCACCCCCACGTGGGACCAGCTCCTGACCCAGGCTTCCCGCAGTGGAGTCCTAGGGGCTGTGTGTGGTGGGAACAGTGCAGACCATGGGGCCTGTGCTGATCCAGTGCTGCCAGCATCCCAGGGCACTGGGGACACCCTCTCCAGGGACAGCAGGCCTTGGGTAGCCCCAGAGAGGCCTGGAACCAGCTGCTCCTTCCTGCTGGCCCAGAGTGGGCAGAGGAGCTGGGCAGACTCCACTCTGTGGCTTGGAGGCCAGGACAGGGCTCTGCCAGGCAGTGGCTCTCATGACCCCTAAACATTGTTCTTCCCCAAATCCAAGTGGTGGGGGTACCATGTCCCCAGCTCTCTCGGCAGTGTCCCTTCAACAGGGCTTGGTGCACAGGGCCAGCCGTCTGGGCCCCACTGTGCTGGCCTGGAGCACAGAGCAGTCCTCTGTTGTCTCCATGTCCGGGCAGAGTGCTGCTCCCTGCGGGACATTGAAACTCAGTGTCCGGCCCAGCATGGACACGGAGCCAGGGGTGCCAGCCAGATGCCCCCTTAGCCTCTGTGCCTTCAGCACAACCAGCAGGTTCAGGCCACACACAGCCCCAGCTGGCCCTGGCCCCCATGTCTGGAAAACTAGCCAGGTTCCCAGGAGGAGGTGCCCCCACTCTTAATGAGTGACACAAGGACCCCTACACCATGGCCACCAAAGGCCGGTCACAGAGGGACTCCTCCTGCAGGCCAGCACATGTCCAGCCTGAGCCCATCTGCCACCTCCTGCTGTGTGACTTGGGGCAACGTCTTGACTCTCTGAGCACTTTTATCTCATGTAAAAGAGAATCAGGTACAACAGACCCCAGTGCACCAGCCAGCCAGACCCTGGGGAAGGCTGGACCCCTTTCTGCCTGGACCCTGCCCCTGCCAAGGCGCTACTGGGCTCAGCCAGGCCCAAAGGCAGAACACCACACAGGACAGGGAGCACGGTGAGAGGCTGCCACCCTACACTGCCCACATCCACCCACCCCTGCCCCACATTCCAGCCACAGGGTTTTGGGAGCCATCGGCCTGGAGTCAGCCTAGAAGCCATGTAGGACCCAGGCGGGGCTAGTGGCCCTGACCTCCGACCTGGTCTGCAGGCCTGGCCTGATGCCACCACCCACCCCCGGGGGGCCTGGGAGAAAGCTGTCCAGTGGAGGACATAGGATTGCTGTTTCTGCCAAAGGGGAGCAGCCTTGGCCCAGGCCTTGCCAGCTGGATGGCTCTTCATCCGGTGGCAGCCAGAGCCTGGGAGAGGCCTGGTCACCTGCGTGGCCTGTGGGCCATGCCTGTGCCTGGCCCTACCTCCCCAGAGCACAGAGATGGGCAGGGACGTCACCGGGCCATGCCCTGGCCCCAGGACCAAAAAGCCAGTTGTATCCCCACTGGTGTGGTGGGCGGAGCCAGGGAAAGAGGAAGACAGGTGCTAACTTCCGGCCCAGCAACCAGCATGGAGGGAACCTGGGAGGTGGCTGAGGCCTCAACGGGGCCACAGCAGCAGTCACATCCAGTGCCCTGGGTGTGATCCATTATGGCCACCCTCTTGTCCACCCAGGACTGGGGGTGTCCCAGGGCAGAGACATTCCAGCAAACGGGGCAGCTGGGGACCCCACAACCTCTGCCCCCGAGCCTGTGTCTCCTCGTCAGTGGGGCTGGTGAGGGGCTCCCAGTACTCCAGCCCTGGTCCTCGGGCCTCCCAGGTGGCCGATCTGCCCAAGACCCCAGCTGACCTGACCCGATCCCGCAGAGGCCATCTCTGGGGTGTGGAGTCATCACCAGGCACATGGGGAAGAGGCCTGGGGTCACGGAGTCGGCGCCTCTCCCTGTCCCCTAGCCAGGGCCAGCGGGGTCCAGTGAGGCCAGAGGGTGCTTTGTCCCGCCTTCCGGCACTGGGCCAAGAGCTCTCCCTCTTGCTTAAGTGGGAAATGCACATTTGTCTGGGGAGCTGCCAGTGAGCAGACCGGAGCCCCACGCCCTCCCGCCCGGCCTCCGCCCTGCAGGGGGAGGCCCGTGTGGTCCCCTCAGCTGTCCCATTCCCTCTCCAGCCTCGGTGGCCTCAGCCCTTGGGCTCCGTCTGCTCCAGGCTGGGCAGGCGCCTGGAACCCCACCACGCTGGCCCAGGGCTGCCTCTCTGTCGTCCACTGTCCGGAGGGCAAGAAGGCCCCGGCCCCAGCTGCCGTAATGGAAACTTCCTGGCCGGGCTGTGAGTGGTGACGGCTCGGGTTCCGCCCTGAGGAGGCTCCGTCTTCAGCGACCCAGGGCCAGGCAGCCGGGCCGTCCCGAAAGACAGGCCAAGCCACAGGAGCCAGGTGGGCAGTGTGCAGGGGGGGAGAGGGGGGCACATGCACATCAGTATGTGTCCCCTCAAGCCCCACAGAGGTGGCTGCCCACAGCAGGTCAGCTGGCCTAGGCATCCAGGGGCAGTGCAGGTGTGGGGTGGGGGAGCCCTGACCAGTGGTCAAAGCGGAGGGGAAGCTGTCCCTTGCAGGTGGGCGGGGCCCTGGGGTCACCTACGGCCATGAGGAGGCCCTGCCCCATCACAGGTTTTGGGTGGTGGGGGAGGTGTCCCGGGCGCAGGCGGGGCAGGCACAATACCATGCCACCTTCCTCCCAGGGCAGGAGGGGACAGCAAGTGGGTGCATTAGTCACTTCCAAAGGCTCCGTGACAGGAGAGGAGGGCACCACAGTGTTCTGGATGTGGCTGTGGCCAGATCTTGGAAGCACACAGGACTCCAGCCCTCCAACCTGGGACTCTGGGCCTGTTCCTGGGCCGAGACCCCTTCCCATGCTCCATCTGAGCCCAGGAAGGTGGCAGACACTGTGTCCTCCTGCCCGGGCTCCAGCGTCCAGTCCCAGCCCCGGGGGCTGTCCAGGGCCTGCTCACTGAGCGGGCGCAGAGCTGTGGGTCCAGGAGGCCCCAGGTTCCTCAGCCTCCCAGAGGGGCGGGCCGGGGCAGGCCGGGGCGGGGCGGCCTTCCTCGGTGACAGTGACGCTCTGCAGGCCTGGGCTCCTGGAACTATTTTCCGCCCTTTATCACCCTTCCGTCATGAGCTGGCTGCGGAGCAAGTGCCCTGGAATTACACCCTGTCCCTCCACCTGGGCCTTGCTCCAGGCTGGGCAGAGGTGACACCCAGTGGCTCCACCTGCTTCTGTCACCCCCTGTCACAACAGAAGGCTCATTCTCCACTTGACCAAGGTCACCAGGACCAGACTGAGCAGTCCCTGGGGACGGCAAGGGCCCCATGTCCTCTGGCAGCTCCCTCCCCTGTGAAGGAGAAGCACGAGTGAGGTTCCCCCCCTCCTCAGCACTAACTGGAGACACTCAGGGTCCCCAAAGAGCTGCAGGTGGGGGAGGGTGGCCACAGATGTCCTCACTGCCCAGCCCAGCGCCAGGGGGAGTGCAGCCACCCCGAGGGACAGCCACCGCGCAGAGGCATCGCTGCAGGCCCCCTCTCAGCAAACCCCAGACACTGGCTCGTCCCTGCTGGGCCCAGGACAGGGGCCGTTGCTGCTCCTGAGGACGAGCAGGTGGCCCAGGGCCTGCAGCCTCACCCAGCACGCAGGTCCACACACATTTCAGACACACATGTGCATACTGTGTGCATGCAACCACCACTCAGGCACACACATGTGCACACACACAGATTCCCTGCACACGCGATTGCTCCTCACACACAGCCTCTCAGCCCCACCCCAGAGCACCGAGGATGCCCCACCTGCCCCAGCCACCCGCTGCCCCGTCTCTGACCCGATTTGCAGTAAAACCTGATGCTGCAGCAATGCTCAGAAACCGCTTGCTTCTCCAGTAACTGGACCCGAGCAGGCAGTGCAAGGCTCCTGGGGCCGCATTTGTGCCCCAGGGCTCCCAAGTGGCCCAGGGCGGGGTGTGGGGACCTTGGGGTCACCCCCAGCGCAGCTGCTCCTGCCCTAAGGGTGCCGAGCTTGGCGACAGCAGAAGCCCTTGCTCTCTGGCTGTCAACCTGCGACAGGGCCAGGGGTATGTGCTGGGTGAGCTTTCACACCTAGGCCCTGCAGTGACCACTGAAGACTCAACATGAGGGACCTGGGGAGGTGGCAGGCAGGCAGCTGCTGGCCCCAATTCACCTGTGCAATAGGAGGACAAAGGGCCCAGTGCCCTGTGGACAGCCTCAGCGCCCTGGTGAACAAGGACCTAGGGCCCCGTCCTTGTGGATCTGATGCCTGGCACTCAGGGGGTTCTGGTTGGAGCTGTACTGGGGAGCTTGGGGCCAAGGGCCTGCCAGGGGCATGAAAGAGAGCCCGGAGCAGAGCAGCCAAGTACATGGGGGAGGGGCTGAGGCACAGGAGCACATGGGCATCTGGACAGCCAGAAGGAGCCATAGGACGCCGCACAGAGCAGAATCAGTCATAGACAGAGAGGGTTCAGTAGGCGGGGACAGGGGCACAGTTGGGGCAGAGCTATGGGGTGGCCTGGGGCTCAGGGCTCGGCTGGCAAGGTGTTAAGAGCCCTGGAGGGCCTTCCCTGGGACCCATATGATCCTGGCAATGAGAGATTCCCATTCCATCCCTGGCCCCATGGCTGTGAACCAGGGGACAGCAGCCCATGGGAGTACTATGCAGCCAGGAAAGGGGACAGTGAGCAGGCTCTGGTGGCAGAGGAGATTGCTTAGGTAGAAGTCACTGGCTCTGTGACCCTCTCTCTCCCACCTCAGCACCATGCTCCAGTAAATGAGGACCACAGCTCGAACCCTGAGCCCTGACTCCAGCCCAGAAGCCCTGCGTGGGACCAGGAAGGATGAGGAGGCCGCAGGGCGCTGGGCACAGCCCCAGGCAGAGGTGGGGAAGACTGTCCAAGACCATGGCTCGTGGTGCGGGCTCCGGGCTCCAGGGTGCACAGGCAAGGTTAGAGGGCTCCGGGCCTCACCCTGCAGCCAGGGCACGGTGCAGTGGGGGCCTGAGCCCCGCGCCCTGCGCGACCTTCTGCCGAGTCAGGCAGGAGCAGCGTTCGAGGCCAGCCAAGGACAGCAGGTGGGTGGGGCTGGAGGGTGGAGGGGCGGGTGGCAGGGGAGGGGTGAGGGCAGCACAGCCAGGCTGTCACCCAGCAGACAGGTGCAGGCCACAGGGGTCAAGGACGCCAGTGGAGAAGATGGCACAGTAGGCAGAGCCTCACCAGAGGGCCCAGACCTGAGGCTGGAGGCTGGGGTGGCCCAGCAGGGCGGTAGGAGCCCCAGGCTGCCCCAGCTGGCAGGGTGGTCGCCCATGGCCAGCTCAGGCACAGGAGGCAGCCTGGCTCCCGGTGATCTCGCCCACAGAACAGCTGGCCTCCCGGGTCACAGATGAGGGCACAGAGGCCCACTGAGTGTTCAGGGACAGTGGGTTCCCTGGCAGCCCCTTTGGCCAGGTGGAGTCTGGCCATGAAGACGGAGGCCTGCTCCTTGGGGGACCACAGCAGCCCGCTATGACCTGAGGCCAGCCTGGCCCTGCCCTGGCTCAGCCCCACTGAACTGGGCCCCTCACCCACATGCCCCCTCATCGCAAGCTCCCCTGAACAGCAGCCCAGCCTCCAATGCTGCCGAGGCTGAGGGGCCAGGCCTGGCATCGCCCTGGGCAATGGGCACACCTGGCTGGGTCAGGGCTGCCAGTGCCCCTCCCACCATCCCAGGCTGTGCACACAGCCATCCAGGGTTCTTGGAACAGTGCTGCCGACAGCGGCCGAGTCCTGTGGTCACCATCCTTTCCCTGGGACCCAGGAAGGCCGTGAGTCTGTGTGGGCTGAGAACTGCAGTCCAAGAGGCTCCTCCCCGCCCGCCGCCTACCGTGGAGTATTACTGTTCTCACTGGTGGCGTGCAGTCACCCTGAGCATGGGCACTAGTGGGAACAAAATCCAGGACTTGACCTCGTCCACTTAAGACTTCTGATCCCACCAGGACGGAACAGCAGCCGCAGAGGTCAAGGCTGGCGTGGCCATGCCTCTCGGGTCCTGCGCACCAACTGCCCTGGCACAAAGCCCAGAGGAGGCAGCAGGGGGGCAGTCGGAGTGGGCAGTGTCTAGCAGGAGGGTTCATGGCCTCTGACTCCCTCTTTCCCCAGGAGGGAGACAGGAAACACCCCCCATCCATCCTGAGACGGAGCTGGCCAGAGCGTAGGCCCCATGAGGCTGAGCCACCAAGGACCTCAAGACATGTGCGGTTCCGGGAGCCCTTGGAGGTGGCCGTTCACTGTGAGAGGGCATTTGGGCAAGCAGGGGACTGGCGGCAAGGGTCTGGGTGGGTCAAGGTGGGAACCCCAGCCCCTGTCCTGTGGTCACGGACAGAACCCCAGGAACGCCCACGGGGCCCTCAGGACACAGGGAAGGGGGACGCCAGGCAGCTCTCTCCAGAAAGGTCAGAGGCTGCACTGGCCACGGCTCCTGTGGAAGGGGTGGGAGAGGCGGGGTGCCCGGCAAACTTCCTATCTTGGCCTCCTTCACAGACATCGCCTGCAGGGAGCCCCCAGCGGCAGTCAGTGGTGAGTCGTGAGCCCTAGCCCTTGAGCTCTGACCCTGGCCAGCCCGTGGAGCAGCTGCTCTCCCCGCCCCACTGGCCTCGGCATCCCATCCCACTCGGCACCCCTGGCTGCCCAGCAGGGCCACTCCACAACCTCTGTCCCTGGCACACACAGGTGGGCCACGGTGCCTGGTGCCCCAGAGATGTCCCCTGCTTCTGCGGCTGGCTCTGTGCATCCTGCTCGGGGTGGCGGTGGGCCTGTGCTGCAGCCGGGCCAAGTCTGTCACTGAGGCCCTGGAGGACCTCCGGGCCCAGGTCCTGGTCCTTGTCCTGCGCCTCTGGCACATGGCCCTGAGCTGCTGGCGCTGTCTCCTGCGGTTCTGACCATGGCCAGCAGTGGGGTCATTATGGGATGGCCTAGCAGGTAAGGCTACAGGGCGCCCCAGTCTCAGGCTCTGGAGCTGACCAGGAGACAGCCCTGCTGGGTGGCACTTGGCATAACTAGAGGACTCTGCAGGGCTGCTGTGGGGACACGCAGTGGGCACCCTGCTCCTCTCAGCACAGCCCTCCTGTTCCTGCGTGTCAGGCGCCAGGGAGGCAGCTGGGAAAGGACCAGAGTCTGCCACCCGCCTTGCCCAGCCTCTGCCTGGGGGAAGCTGTATGTCACCAAGTGAGCCCCACATCTGCTGGGACCCACCACTGTCATCCTGAGGGCTGCACCCCATGAGCAGAAGGCCATGTGTGTGGGGTGCCCTCACTAGGAGTCCACTGTGGGGCACCATCCTCCTAGCCAGCCATCCCTGCCATGCCCCCAGGACCCCAACAGACAGAGGCAAATGAGGCTCAGTCAGACACAAGAGGGACAGAAGGGGGCGCCACCTGGGGCATGGCTGGGCATCTGCACTGCAGCCTCTGACCTTGGCCTCCATCCTGGCACTAGTGCAGGAGGGGCACTTTCCCTTCCAGCACCGTGGCAGCCTCTGGGCTGGGGTTCAGGGGAAGCAGCAGGCAGCCCAGCTGGAAAGGCCCTCAACGGCCAGCGGCCTGCTGCATCCCCAGGCTGCATCCCCCAGCGAGTTCCCCTCGCCCCTCACTCCCCTTGCCCTGCTCTGGGTCTCACCCTTACCTGGCCTCAGGGACCCTAGGGTCTCCTCCAGATTCACAGTCCGGGGGCCCAGAGTAGGGGAGCACCATGGAGGGGACCACAACAGAGAATGGGCACCTCCGGCATCAGCTGTCACCATGGTGACTGCCTCCTGCCCAGGCCAGCCCCACAGGATTGACCTCACTAACCACAGCTGGGGTGAGCAGGCCGCCGCTGCCTCAAATTCTCAAGGCTCTGAGAGGGAAGTTTCAACCCTCTCTGGGCCTAGGATGCTGCCCTGCCACCCCTCCCAGGAGGGTGCTCCTCCTGCTCTGCACCGGGCCCAGCGCGGGCCTCTCCACTGCGGGGCACACAGGTCCACGTCCAGCCACTTCTCACTAAGCACTGCCTGAAGACATCACCCCGGAGTCACCCAGCGTCCACACCTGGAGATCCCAGCCCTAGAAACTCGGACGCCAAGCCACAGCCTCACAGTGAACCCTTCCTAGAAGCCGCCGAAGAGCTGGAACAAACCCCAGAGGGACGCAGCCCTACAGGCGGCTGGGGCTGGGCGCACAGGAACAAACTCCACATTCCAGAGACGCTGGAGCTCGGAGTTTTATTTTGACTGAGAGAAATAGATACATGGAAACTTGAGAATCTTTACTTTCAGTTCAGCCAGAAGTAGGGCTAAAACAAGGTGCCCTTTGAGAGAAGCCGGAGAGAAACCAGGGTGTCTGGGGGCAGCCCTGCCCTCCTGCCCTGGGGAGGGCAGGCCTGGACGGAGCCTGCACCCAGGCCTCTGCCTGCCTGGATGCAGGCCGCCCTGGACCAGCTTCCCAGGCCTGAGGGTACAGTGGCCCAGGGCCAGCGGGGCTGGGCGAGGGTAGGGGCGGTCCATGGGCCCAGGAAACCACACCAGCCTCCCAGGGCCCCAGGCAGCTGCAGCAGAAATGGGGGGCAGAGCAGAGGCAAGGCAGAAGCCACAACACCATATGTGGGGGACAGATAAGCAGCTCTCGGGGCAAGAAAGAGTCCACACATCCGGCGATTAGAGACCCAGAATGACATCAGCCTTGGGAGCCTCAGACTGCCCAAACCCATCCTAAGTACCTAGCACCCCACAGGAAACTCTCAGCTGGGCTGGAGCCCGCACTCTCACTCCTGACCTGGGTCCTCCTGACAGCACCTGCCTGCCCAGCACCCTGACAAGCTGGCCGTTTTGGGGGGCCCAGTTGACCACCCCAGGCCCTTTGAGGTGACCCCAGACCATTCAGAGTCCAAGCTGGGAGAACACTGGGAACACACTTCTGAAGGTTAGGATAGGGGTTAGGGTTGGGGGGCTCGTCCACCTTAGGGCCCTTTCCCTGGAACAGGACAGGGACCCCCAAGAAGAGGGGATGCTGGCTCTCCCCAGAAGAGTGCCTAGGACTCTCACCAGGCTCTGCCGCCACTGGGTGGCCAAGTGAGAGCCGCTGCCCTTCTTCTAGGGGTCACAGGTGCCCCGTCGCTGCAGTCTGTTCACATATACCCTATCCACATGCACGTGCACACACGCGTGTGCTCACACCCCAGCACTCACAGTTGCAGCCTCCAGGAGGCAGAGCACGGACACCGCTGCCCAGGTCTCCACTGCCAGCTGCTGGGCCCCGGCAGGAGTCGGCGCTCACCTTGCTGCAGGCAGGGCCCGGGATGCGTGGGGAGCAGGTGGGCCAGGCAGGGCCTGTGGCAGGGGAGGGGCAGGCTGCAGAGCCTAGATGACAGCGCTCTTCTCCTCTTGGAAGGAGGTGCGAGGGCCCGGCCTGGCCAGCAGCAGCTCCTTCTCGTGGACCAGGCTGTCCAGCAAGTCCTCCTGGCGGTAGTTGTGGTAGACCTTCAGGAAGGCCAATGTGGTGATGGCCAGCCATGCCAGCCATGAGGCCCAGAGGCCAAACTGCAAGGACAAGGCAGTGTCAGGACAGAGCCAGAACCCAGTGTGCAACCCACAGGCCCCCACATGCACCTGACCAGCCCCCGCTGTGCACCTGTCCAGTCTCCTGCATGCACCTGACAGCCCCTCCTCATGCTCCCCACCAGCCCTGGCCCTAGTGAAGGCGAGGGCAGGAGGAGATGCCAGTACCAGTACCGGCCGACACTCCTTCTCCCCTGAAGTGAAATCTCCCTCGTATGCCTGGGCAACCTGAATCTGTGCAGAGGCGGAAAGCAGACCACCCCCACCCCGGCTGACACAGCCCTGGCAGAGGACAGTGGTCAGGCAAAGCCCTCTCCTCCCAGCAGCTGGGCCCCTGGGCTCCCAGGAGAGCCTGTAAATCACAGTCCCTGCAGCCACCGGAAAAGATTGACCTTTAGCTGCTGTTTCTAAACAACTGGAGGAGAAACAATCTAGTCAGCCCCAGGCCTGCACTGCATCAAACTGATACTCATTAGAGCATTTTGTCAGCCCTGCGATCAGCACAGCTAGGTCCAAAGCATCCTTCATTAAATCTGCACGAAGGTGTCTATGACCATTTCAGTGGCTCTCAGCCAAGAACCCCCAGCTTCCATGTCCAGACTCCCCAAGGGGCTCCTGGCCACGATGAGGCCCTCAGGCTGGCCAACAGAAGGTTAGGGCTGGACCCAGAGGCTAAGGCCCTGCATGGTTGCAGAGGGACCAGCCTGGGCCTTCCAGGGCTCATCCCATACCTGCTTTGTGGCAGCCACCTCTACCACCAGCTCCCCAACCCCAGGCCACGGCACTTGGACATCTGACTCTCAGCCATGTTTGCCCCCTGCCCCAACCCCCACTTAACCTTTGAACACCCTGCCCTGCCCTGGACCTGGCCCTCGCCCCGAAGCCTTTGTTCCTGGGGTGGGATCAGGAGAGTCACACACAGGCCCCTTCCCGCCCACCTGAGCGATGGCAAACTGGTCATAGAAGGCAGAGTTGTCCACACTCAGCTCCAGGTCGATGTCCTGCAGCTCCTCACAGCTGAAACACAAGGTAGGAGATGGTGACTGCTGGCCAAAGGGCCTGCTGGGGACCTGCAGGACCTCGCAGAGTCAGCTTCGAGCCCCAGTCCAGGGCGCAGGCTCCAAGGAAGGGGACCAGGTGACCAGAGGGCCGCGTGTTGGCCTCAGCTGGTCCCCAGGTCCTGGCCTGTTGTCCTGCCCGGCAGGCCGACTGGCCTTGAGGAAGGGAGCAGCGAGGCTAGGGTCCATGCCCCCCCCCCACATACTGCTCCCCAGAGTGTACACTGGGGACACAGCAGGCAGCTTCCACAGGACAAGGTGACTTGGCCCAGCCCGGCCAAAGTCTGCATGAAGCCCACACACACCTGTCTCCAGCAAGAGCTGAGCAACATCCCTCCTAGGGCTGCAGGAACGGACAGGGGAGGGCCTGCACCGAGGCCCCCACAGGCAGGACTGGCACAGTGAAGGCCAAGCCGCAGCTGCCAGCTGCAAGTGGAGACCCAGTGGGGGCCACCAGGGCTCATGCAACCTTGTCAGTGACCCGGGCCCCAGCACGCAGGCACCGGACAGGTGAGGCACTCCTGCCACACTCTGCTGTTTTAGATGTTGGGGTTAAGCAGTTCTCTCTGTCCCCTCATTGCCCAGGCTGGTCGATCTGCACCTTGCAGGGCCTTGGCCTCTGGGTCCAGCCCTAACCTTCTGTTGGCCCTATTTTAGATGCTGGGGTTAGGATTAGGATTAGGGCTAGGTCTGACTTTTCCTAAAGGAAGTAGAGCCTCAGGAAGAGGTGATCCCAGGTTCTGCCTTCTAGGACCTGAGCAGTCTTTGGGTGGGCAACGGGCATCTTCCCAGGGCCATGGGCAGTCAGCACACTCTACCCTCACGTGCCCACCAGCCAGGTACTGCTCCAGCTGACTGCCAGGAACCCACTCACCCCTCAGAGCCCTCTCTTCCCATTGTCTACCGTCATCCACCCCATGGAACAAAACCCTGACCTGATGCCCACCCTGTGCCTCTGCCTCCCGTGGGCAGCACAGGAAGGGACCTGGTCACTGCTCCCAGTGGCAATGAGAGGACAGAGAGAACTGCTTAAGCCCAGACTCCACACACTCCTGCATCAGAGGCCTTGGCTCCTGGGGGCCTCTGTGTGTGACACTGCAGGCCTCACAGCAGGAAGGAGGCACCCAACACTGGGGTGGGGCTCAGGGAAGGAGCCATCAGGTGGCGACCAGATGGGTACCAGGTAGGGCCCAGGTGGGCCAGGTGGGGCCCAGGTGGGGACCAGGTAGGCACTGGGAGGGCAAAGCCACAGACTCCAGGCAAGCTGCATGAGAGGCTGTCTGTGGGTTCAGGGTGGGAAGCAGGGAAGGGTGAGGCCCAACACACCTGTGGGGTACGGTGCCCTTCTCAGTGATGGCGTCACACCACATGGTGAAGCCCACGCTCACAATGGTGCTGGCGATGAAGACCAGGAAGACCACAAAGGCACTCACCAGGAGGTTGAGAAAGGCATAGAAGAAGGAGCTGCAGGCAGAGACAGGGATGCTGGGGTCACTGCAGCTGCAGCCCAGCAACGATCCCCAGCATGGAGAGGCCCCAGCCCAGGCTCCCTTGGTGGCATGAGGGGCCAATGATACCCCATACTGGTCCTGAGATGCCCACCTTGTCCTTTCCAAGACTGGATTTGGGCCCACAACACCATCACTGTCCAGGGGAAAAGGGGTCCAGGGTGGTAAACAAAGGCATGGCTGGCATCTCACCCAGGGCAACCTCGGTCCCCGTCATCCAACCATGGTGACAAATGGTCAAGGCGCAGAGCCCAGGCACTGCTGGCTCATCTGCCAGTCATTTGTTTGACAAGCTCTCTGCGTCTATGCACAGCCCACAGTGGACACAGGACAGGAACAGGAGTGTGCCACCCTGACCCAGGAAGCTGACACACTGATAACAAACAAGCCCACTGTGCCAGTCCTAGCAGGTCACCAGGATGCTCAGGTGTAACCGCCACCCACAGGGCCCACCCTGGACAGGCCACCTGGCTGAGCGACTGCTGGGCAGATGGCATAGCCTCTGAGGGGACACAGCCTCACACATCCAGACAGAAGTGACAGAGCCCAGAGCACAGTCCTGACACAGTCACAGCTCTGGGATGAGTGCCCCCTCTCCCGCAGGTCCACAACCCACTGCCTCTGAGGACCAGTAGCTGCCACAGAGCTGTCCACCCCCCATACACTGGCATGGCCATGAGTGCTGTGGACACTGTCCCTCACTGTCACACACGGGAGCCCTGCAGCTGCCTCTCCTGCTCAGAGCACTTCCCTGCCCTGCCTGCAGGCTGCCCTGCATGTGCAGGGCATGGACGCCTGGTCCCAACAGGGGCCTCACAAAGAGCCTAGGGCTGACACCACAGCTCCCGACTTCCCAGCCAGCCTTCCATTACCCCACCTGGGGGACCTTCCTCCCTTCAGGACCTGATGACTGATTCCGGGCCACACAAAAGACTCACATAGGTAAAGAACAGCTAGCAGCCACCCAGCCTGTGCACCTGCCCTGCCTGTACTGTCCCAGGTTAGACCACACCCACTTTCAACAGCCCGCTGCCCACCACCCTGTTGGGCTCCCCAGAGCTGCATTCAGGGCCAAGGCTGATCAATATTCCCACCAAGAACCTAGGGTACAGGAAGTGGGGTCACCTGTAGTAACCAAGCATCCAAAGCCTGGGGCTAGATGAGCTCAGGGAGAGGGCATGGCACAGCCCACCTGAGCTCTCTCACCTGGCAGCTTGCATCAGAGCATGGCATCGTGGCCACGGGCCTGGTGGCTGGGTTGTCAGGACAGCCAGGTCAGAGCCTCCCTGGGCACAGACATGCAGTTCACCAGACAGTGGTGGGGAAGGTGCCTAGGACCTCCCCTCCCAGGCACACTCGCTCCTCTGCCTGCTGACAGTGCCTGCTGCCTGCTCTGGGGCACTCTCCAGCAGCAGCACCCACGGGTGCTGGAGTTCCTACTTCCTGACAGTCATCCCAGGCTAGTTGTGGGCAGGCACACAGAGCAAGGCCGAATCTGGTCCCTCTCAGTGGGGTGTGGCAGCCAGAATCTAAACAGGTGTGCACAGCTTACACCCCCTGCTGGACCAAGCCCTGGTTCCCAAACGCCGTGGGACTCAGGAGCTCCAGGCCCAGCTGCCCTTCCCGCCACAGAGGGGGCACAAGCCCGACAGTCAGGAATGGGATCGCCTGGGTCTCCAGACATCCCAGCAGCATCCTGAGTAAGTGGGTATCATTTCCTCCTCCCTAACCCAGACAAGGAGCTCCCCACAGGCGGAGAGGTCCCTGAGCTGGGCCACTGCTGGCGACAGCCTTCTTGCAATCTTCTCATCCACTTCTGGTCGGTTTCCATGGAACCTGTCTGACTTTCCAGATTTTTAAAGAACTGCAGGTGTCCAGAGCCTCATCTGGGTCACAGTGCCACCCCTCTCTGTTCTCCAACACACAAAAAACAGGACAGGGTGACAGACGGCACACACAGGGTTAACCATCTTTCTCCTGACAGGATGTGCCGTCGTCATGGTGACAGCTATCCTAGGAAGCCAGAGCAATCACCAGGCGAGAGCGCGACAGGTGTGAGCAAGCAGATGGGTCCTTTTAACCCAGCGCCCCCAGCCCATCAATCATCAATCACACACTGCTGCCCAGCCAGCCCAAGGACTCCCCCCCGGCCCCACCTGCGCTGAGGGAGAGCTGTTGGGCTCCAGGGCCACAGCCTCTGCTGCTCTTTCCCTTGGCAGCTAAGAAGGGAGCTGCGGGTACCACCCTCCCCCTGTGCATGCCAGGTTCCCTCTGCCCTGGAGCCCAGGACCAGGCCACTGGGCAGGCACCTCAGCAGCCAGGTGGCAGCCTCATCCTTGAGGAAGCAGAGTCTGACCACGTCAGCCCTCTCACACCTGGGAGCTGAGGGGGCCATGCTGACCTCCGGGGCTGGGCATCTGTGGCCACCACATGGGTTTATGGACGTGTCTGTCCTGGCCCTTGGCTGCCTCGAAGCCCCTTGCCACCCTCACCCTGGCTCGCCTGGTCTACAGGGCCTGACCAGCATCTGTAATGGAACCATGCTCCAGGCTCGTCCTGTCTGTCCATCACTGGCCTCTGCAGGCTGCACCTTCCCAGGGCCCAGAACTCGATGACACAGTGGCTCTGAAGGGTGGACCTGTTGACCAGAACCTGAGTCCACAAAGATATCAGGTTCAGCTGGTGACAAAGATCCAGGCTTCAGGGTCCAGCATCTTTTGGTCACCCACCCAAGGAATACTTGCCACAGAGCTGTCCACCCCCCCATACACTGGCAAACGCACCTTAGGGTGCGTTTTGCCTGAGTACACAGGGAGGAATCAGGTGCTGGCCTGCCCTGGGTTCAGCCAGCCAGGGTCCCCCTAGATGGACATCCATGGCCTGTGATGGCTCCAAGACCTCTAGCCCAGGCCTACAACCAGACAGGCACTGACACCACAGCTGACCGTAGCTAAGTGGACTTGCAGTGGACAAGGTAGAGGGCAAATGGCCAGACAACCAGGCGACCCTGGCCAGTGATTCCTGATGCCACAAAGAATGTTATGAATGGGGCATCCCTGGAGTCAAGAAGGCTGACCCAGCACTTGGAAGAGAGCCGGAAAGCTAGAGCAGAGGGACAGAGACCCACCAGCAGGAGCCCAGGCCACCAGTTCTGGACCCTGGTGAAGTCTAGGGCATGGTGGTCCTGCCCACCCTGAATCGCAGTGCAGGCCGGTCAGCAGGGCATGAAGCACCAAGGCATTTGGGCCTGTACCGATTCCAAGCAGAAAGCCCAGAGACACCCAGCCTCAGTGAAGCCTCTGTGCTGGCTGCTCCTGGGGCAGGTGTCCCTTCTGTGAGTGACAAAGACGAGGCTGGCACTTCTGATCTGCTGCCTCATCTGTGCAGAAGGGGCTGCCTGGTATGACCACAATTCCTATCTTGCCAGCTCTTCAGGGCTCTTCACCTGCTGCACCCCATGTCTGGCCTCTACTGTCCCCCAACACACACACACACACCTCTGAGTCACCCATCACACTGACCACACAAGCTGGCCTCTCTGGAGGGCTGCTGTGTGTCGGCCCCAGCTGGACCACTTCTGCTGCAGGGACACCCAGGCCCAGAAGGGCAGAGCCCAGCCTCACAGCCCTGAAGGCTCCCTGGTGACATGGCTTCTCACAGACCCAGGTCCAGTACCTCAGCGGAGGGTTGAGCTATGCCCCACAGAATGCCAGGTCTCAGCCTGATACTCTGACTGTGACTTTTCTTGGAGAGGGGTCTGTGCAAGTACAATTAAGTCAAGGATCTCCAAAGAGATTGGCCTGGACTTAGGGTGGGCGCTAAACCCAGTGACCTCATGAGAAGAAAAGACAGAGGTGAAGCCAGAGGCAAAGGTCAGAGTGAAAGAGCCCCACACAAGGAGTGAGGAAGGGTGCTGTGGCCCCCAGAAGCTGGAGCCCTCGAAGGGTGTCCTATGGCCCCTGGCTGGGGATGGGGTGCCCTGCTGTGCAGCAACACCCTAGCTCAGGACTGTGAGGAGCCCCAGCTTGAGAAGCTTTTTTTGAGCAGCCCCAGAACACGTGCACACTCGGGATCCTAGGCTTGAACCCCTCCTCCAGCTTTTGTAGCCCCGCAGTACCTTCTGCTCCTGGGAGCCTTTCTTGGTCCTCTCTGAAAAGCCGAGACCTCCTGGGGCAGGGGGTCCCCACCCTCACAGTCTCATGGCCCCCTGCAAGGAGCACAAAGCCACTGAGAACAGGGTAGAGCGGCACAGGCCAGGCAGCGGCCTCCTTGGTCTGCAGAGAGTGGGTGAGCTCACCGCTGCCACCATCGAGGACTCAGCCTGGTGACTACTCCACCGGCTCTGGATCACAGCAGCACAGGAAAGGGGAGGGAGAAGGGAAGGGAAGCCTGGCCCAGCCAAGGTCTGGGTGCCAGCAGTGCACCGTGAGGGGCTCCTTTCCACACAGGCCTCTTCCTGGGAGGAGAGGAGGACTCCCCAAGAGCCTCACCACTTGCCAGGCCCTGGTCCTCCCCAGACGGCTTACACAGAGCGGAGGAGTCCGGAGCTGTCCCCGGTCCTGGCGAGAGTGGGCCGGGTGGAGGAGCCCTGGTCTGCTCCGCCAGGAAGGTGCAACAGCTGTACCACAGGGGATGCAGGAGACTGCATCCAGGGAGGGAGGACGGCGATCGCTGGACCGCATGTGCGCGCAGACAAAGGGCGCTGCGCTGGAGGCGGAGACGGTGGAGGGCGGACCCTGCGGGCCTCGGCGGCCGGGGAACAAGGCCTGGGGAGCGCGGTGGCACGCAGGGTCCCGCTTACCCCTCGTGTCCTTTGCAGAGGAAGAAGAGCGTGCGCCAGGCGTGCGCAGCGGCCAGCAGCAGCGACAGGAGGCTGGCGAGCAGGCTGAAGCGGCAGGCGGCCGGCGGGCCCCACTCCTGCACCGTGAAGCGCTCGCGCGCCTGCACCGTGAGGTTGGCGCTCAGCCACATGCCCTCGGTGAACAGCAGGCAGCGGCCGCGGAAGTCGTGGCCGTTCTCGGACAGCGGCACCACCACCACGAAGCTGAACAGGAAGGCCAGGAAGTAGCAGACGCACTGCGCGAAGAGGAAATTGTTGAGCGCCATGGCGCAGCCAGCCAGGGGTGCGCGCCAGAGCCTGGAGCCTGGAGCCTGGAGCCGGGACCCGGGACCCGGGACCCGGACGCCGCGGTTCAGGCGCCGCACGCAGCCAGGCCCAGGCGCGCGAGGCTGCGCAGTGGCGACGCCGGGTCCCGCGCGCCCCGCCCGGACGCGTGCGCATGGGCCCAGCCGCGCGCCTGCGGCCAGTACCGCAGCCAGCTCCAAGCGCGCCAGTCCTGGCGGGAGCCGAGCGTGGCTCAAGACGCTGCGTGGGCCTCACCTAGGCAATCTGAGTTCCAGGTTCCCCAGGGCACTGAGGGAGGCAGAGGAGTCTGCAGCCGGCTGACTCCTTCTCCGGGACCCTGGCGCGCAAAGGACCCGGAAAGGGAGACAGGACAGAGGTCACCCACCAGAGAGAGGCCAGGGTCGCCAGATGGGGTGGGCCTGAGAAGGGCTATCTGTGGTCTTCGCGTGGAGCACACAGCCTCCGAGAGGACCCTGAGCTGATGCTTGTAAGATAAATAACGGATGCCCTGGGCACCTCATTAAGACATCTTTGCTGAGATGGAATCTGCCGGTGCATTAATTAATAGAATTAATGCTTTTTACAGTTTCCCCTAAGACTAAATCACATTTAGTCCAATTCCCGGAGTGAACAAGCTCTGGTATTGCTCCTTCTGGAAAATCACATCAGCGTTTTTGTTGCAAGCACTAAATACTCTTTTTGTTTTATTGCTAAAATAATACATGCTCATTTTTTAATTCCAGCTACATAGATACATATAATATAAAAGTATAAATTCTCGTCCCGATCCTACCCTGTCACATGGCCGGGGCAACCATTTTTAACTACCTAGCGCCTGTTTTGTGTACATTTTGCCACAAATACACACAGTTTACAGAGATGCTCCATGCTACATGTGTGTTCTGCAAGGTGCATCTTTTATTTCTTGGTGCATCACAGATCTGCCTATAGATCTATTTTACTCTTCTTAATAACCGAGCAGCCAGGATGCCTCCACACCGTGCTTTCTTATTCCTCTTTCGGTGGACACTTAGTGTCTCTAGTGTTTGCTTTTTCAAACACTGCCATGTGAGCATCTTTGCACACACGTAGCTGTGAGCTCACACAGGTTGCACACAAATGCCTAAGAAACCCTTAGAAGTGGAAGTGCTAGCCCTTGGGTTTAAATGTTAACAGAGATCACCACGCTGGTCTCTAAAAAACCTGTACAAACAGCCCTTTATCCATGGGGAAGATTCCCTCTCCAAGGGTAAACAATCCTATGGGCACATGGAAAACCCCTCGCCCAAGTGTGGTTTCTATTTCCCTGCTGGCCAGGGTCAGCCCTCTCCTCCGATGGTTGTCATCATTTGTGTTTGTCTTCTGTATTTGCACATTCCTTTCACCACCTCCAGAACACGTGCATTGAAGACATCCACCACACCACCCTTTTCTTGGAGAATCCCCCAGGGCTCCTGCTCCCCTGGAGTCCCCAATCCGCCAGAGGGCTCACACCAAACACTCAGCCACCCAGGGGTGGGCATCAGTGGGGCTGAGGCTGATCGGATGCCTCTGAGGGTGTCACACATTGAGGATTCGGCCAAAACCAAGGAGGCCTGGAAGATGAAGGGGAAAACAATGGGAAAGCATAGATAAAGTCAAGGGTTATAAAACATCACCACTGTAAAAGGCATGGGCTGGCACTGTTACAGATGAAGTCTATCTAACCTTCAGGAAGCGAAGAATTCTCTTGTCATTTGTTTTAATCAAGATCCTCCTCAGAGAGTCAGTAAGGTACGTGCTTGTGTGTGTGCCTGTGTGTGTGTGTGTGCACTTGCATAAGTGTGTGTCCTATTTCTATAGATAGAGGGAGGGAGGAAGAAAAAGAGAAAGAATGGGACAGAAGGAAGGAGAAAGGAGAGGGGCCTATTTTAAGGAGCAGGTTCACGTGATAACAGAGGCTGCATGTCCAAAGTTTGCAAGGTGGCTGGTGGCCTGGAGCCCCGGGGGTGTCCAAGGGCTGTGTACTGCAGATTCTTCTCCCACCCCAGGAAGGGCAGGCTTTGTTCTATCCAGGCCGTTAAGTGACGGGAAGGCCTCCCGGCCACGGAGAGAAGCCTGCTTTGCTGAATGTCCACTGATTCAAACATTGATCACATCCAAATGGAAAAAACCCACACAGAAACATCCAGAGTAATGCTGGCCACATGTCTAGGCATCTGGACCTGGCCAACTTAACATGTAAAATTAACCACCCCATTATTGGAATCATTCCAGTCTATATAAAATACAGAAAATTCCAAAATTCACTTTTTCCCCAAAATCCATTTTTAAAAGCCAGTATTACCCTAGTGAAAAAAGTTCTCCTTTAGAACTATGTGGACTTAGCAGGAAATTTCATTTAGGAAATGTGATACCAAAAATGTTGGGAATAGTATAACACTCATTGAATCCAAGTCAGTGTATTAAGAAAATAATCATATTTAGAAAACATGAATAAGTAGAATTTATTCTACAAATACAGGAAAACCTTGGCCCTAGGAAGTGATCTACTACATCAATCTGCCAAGGAGGAAAACTGACATTTTATTCAAAGATACTTGAAAGGCATTTCACACTGTTCATAACTGTTCCTGGTTTTTTAAAAATTCTACATAAAATAAGTAGAAAACTACCAAAGCATGCTGAGGACTAAAACAGGTGCGAACTCCGCACCTGTTCAAATGAGGAACGAGGCGGGACGGCTCGCTGTCAAACACCGGGCTGTCGGTTTGCGATTCTCCCTCTGTGACGAGGCAAGAAAACGGCACGCAGCGTTTATGGAGGTGGCATTAGCGTTATGGAGGGACCCCGATTTCAGACCGGAGCTCTCAAGGCACTGCGGACACGCACGGGGCCTGGCTGCAGGTTCACAGATGACAAGATTTGGACAAGAGCTCGAGCATCTCCAGCCAGGCTCCACGGGTAGACCTGGCAGGGGCAACTGTAGCTGGCGCATGGGGGCTGGGGCAGGGTCCTCCTTCCTCCTGGGCACTGGCCAGTCCTGCTGCCCAGCACAGACTCAGAGCCAGGCAAGGGCCCGTGGGGCAGAGCCACAGGAGTTGAGTGACAGCCTCTGCCTCTGTGGTGGTCCTGGCCGCTGCCCTCTCTTGGCTCCGTGGGGCCGGATGTCCAGCTCAGTCTAACTTCACTGTTCCTTGTGATACCTGACCCTGCCTCGCAGGTGCTATCACACAATACCACCTGGTCGGTCCAGTTGGGGACCCCACCAGACCCCGCCATGAGGGAGCCCTGTCCTTGGCTGCCCTGCTGCCCTGCTGCCCTGCCCGCCAGGCTTCCGTGCCATGCCCATGCCCACCCCCCAGTGGCCTTAGTGAATAGACCGTGGCACACAGCCGGGCCCTAGCCTTCCTGAGCTCACCATCCTGATCTCCTGTCCCTCCCTGGCTGTCCAGGTGTTCCTGCCTCAAGTGGGGTGGACAGCAGCTGCCCAGTTCCTCACCGTGCACAATCACCTGGTGCTGTGAGAGAGGAGCACGCCTTCGTCCTCTGGAGCCCAAGTCTGAAGTCGGGGTGCCCCGGGGACCATGAGCCCACTGCAGACTCTGGGGACAGCTGACCCTCACCCTGCCCCCTCCCCAGTCTCCTGCCCTCCCTATCCATCTTCAAGGCCGGTTACGCCAGCGCTGTCCTTCTGTGGCTGCATCTATCTCACTGGCCTCCTTGGAGGGGAAGGCAGCCCGTGGATGACCAGGACACCTCCCTCCTCTCAAGTCCTTGGCCTCCGTCAAGTCAGCGGAGTCCCCCTGCTTAGGAAGAAGACGCTCTCCCAGGTGTCACAGACGCCAGGATGTGGACATCTTCAGGGACACTGCGCTGCTTCCTGGTCCTCCATGTGGAATTCTGGGTTCCGGGGAAGCCCCTTCGGGCTGAACGAGTGTTTCCCCAGCCTCCACAGCCATCCAGGCCCTGCTGGTTACCGGCAGGATGGCAGTGTGCCCTTCCTCTGTGAAGCAGGCCTCTGACTCACCTCTGGGCAGATGTTCCTCGACCACTGGGGCCTTCAGAGAAGGAGTTGAAGTCCTGAATCCCAGAGTCTCGGAACACAGTCCTCTTTGGAGAAGGGTTGGAGTGGATTGGAAACTGGTAGTCACCTTAAACACTAGCTGAACTGGATCAGCGTGGTGCTGGGTATGGGCGGCCCACCTGAGGACAGTTACCAGCATGAACAGGAGACCTGGGGAGGAAGAGTGGCGCTGTGGGTTCTCCTAAGTGTTGCCGTTGTTGGAGCCGTGGGTCTCCTGCAGGAGCTTGTCATGATGACTCCCCTGATGTGAACTCAGGTGTTATCATCGGAGGAGCTTGGGACTCTGTGTCTGAGAATGGCTGGGCTTCCCTTTGGAGGGCTCTGGTCCTTCCTTTGAGCATCACTTCCTGGCTCAGAAGGGGAGATATGTGCTGCTCAGTCTCCAGGAGAAGCTCGTCACACCAGGGCCCTGCCAGGCAACCACCGGTGTGGATCCAGCTACGAAGCCCAAATCCAACGCTGTTTCCCAGATACCCTGGCCCAGGTGGTCCTGGGAAGTAGACTCCAATGTGGGCAGCACCAGAAGCCCCTGAGGGCAGCACGGCTGGCCAGGAGGACAGCAGCAGCAGGGCGATGAGGACTGGCTCTGCCCCAGAATGGCCCACGGCCCGTTTCCCTAGACACGGTGGCTGTGAGCCGGCCTGCCGTCCTGACCTGCTAGCCACATGGTCATCGATGGGAGCAACCTCTCCAGCCCAGGGTGTGGCCGGCTGGAAATGCAGCCCCATCACATTCGGCTGAGGAGATAAAAGAACCCAGCCATCCACAGACGTGGAACTGCAAACATGAACATAAAAAGACGCTGCCACGTGGGCTGCTGAGAGAATTGCAAACACACCCGAAACCAGACACAGCTGAGTGGGGGGATGCGGAGGGGTGCCCGTACCCCACCTCTACTTTGACTTGGTTTTGCTGCTGCCAAGGACCCTCCACTCCACTCCCCAAAAGCTTCGATTCACAAGGACACGTGTCTGCAAATGCTTATTTCGACTGTTTGTTCTGGCCAAACGCGGAACAGCCAGCGTGTTTATAACCTCAGCAAGGCTGGGTGGATTCA